ATCAACACATACCCACACGCATCATCAATCAACGACTCACACACACATCAACTCACACACACGTCATCAATCAACGAGGCGCCGCCGCCTTGTCTGGGATGTGCTGGAGGGCCTGTGCTGGTTGCTGGTTGCCGGGCGCTGCCTGTGTAAATGCGGCGTGTCGCTGGTGAGCCGCATGATTGTTGGCGTTAACGGAGCTTGGCTTTGCTAAAGTGTAGGGCGCGGTGCGGCGACTTGACGTCTGTGATGTCGCTGTGCCATGCGGTTCTGCAACACCTTGGTGGGAAATGTGTTTTTGTGACTCCCTGCCATTGGGGAGCGGAAAACATGCGTGTGTAAGTGCGGCATGTCGCTGGTAAGACATCACTCATACAACCATCGACTCATCCACCCAACTCAAGTCGATCAACTTAGCACACAAGAAGCCACCCACACAACCAACAACTCACCACAGCAACTCATCTCACAGCTTTCAACTCCCTCTCCACAACACATTTCAAGTCCACTCACATGTTCTCTACACCTGACTTTGTTTCTTTTCTTCGTCGGCTTGACGTCTGTGCCTATGGTAACATACGGAAGACTACACTTGTGGGGTTATCCGGTCCTTTAACTTGATATCTAAGACTTTCATAACTACGGCTATGTTGTCCGATTCTCAGTTTGAAACGCATGTGCCGCAGTCAGCAGTTCGGCACCGACCCGCCAGACCTCTGTCACCAAGCGACTCGTCACCCGCGCCGAACCTGGAGTCCAGCTGAGTTAAGAAAACCACAAAAGAGAGAGGAAGAGAGACACTCTAGTACTGGAGTCTGAGAAGATTGAACATCCAATGTGTCACTGTTTGGCGGGATTTTGCAAGACTTGACCAGTCTTTGTTGATCTGCGCACCAACCACCCGACCAACTCTGACCGAACTCGACCAAACCCAGCCTGGCAGGAGGGCCACCACTTCTGCCGCTCGATCGCCGTCGCTTCGCAGCGGCGCGGCCAGCAGCTCCAAGGACCCGCTCCGGTTGGGCTGGGCCCAGAGGGCGCGCAGCTGTGGGCGATCCAAGCAGAAGGCCTGAAGCGACTAGTCAAGTGTTGATTCTTAAAAACACCGAAGCGCGGAGATGTAAAACATTGTAAATTCACAGTAAAACGATGGAATCCGATGGAGACTTGAAGTATGGAAATATCATCTATCAATCTGCAGGGTCTTTGGTTTGTGGTTTGTTGCCTCTCCAATATCGCTTCGCTCCCACTCCCGCCTGAGAGTCGAGGCCATAGCGAGTCTCGGAAAGGAATTGCGGAACCGCCTCAAAGACCACCTCGCGCAGGGCATGCGAGGGCCGGATGGACTAGGCAAGTCCAAAGTCAAATAACTATATGACTCATATGACTATGACACACAATGGATACACCGTGATACAGTATACAGTAAATACGTATGAGTGAGCGCACTGCAAAAACTCTTAGGCAGGTTGACAAGCAAGGACTGTTTCGTCACGCATGCCGCATACCTCACAGCAGTGGAATTTCTCACAAAAGTGGGCATCTGGAACTATACTTGGATCCACTCCCTTTTTATCGAACGTGCATTGGAAGGTCAGACTAAACAAACGGTTCCACATGCCAAACGGTTCCAGGTCCACCCATTACAAGCCAGCTTCACATCCGAGAAGCCAGTGACATACGACAGTCAGGGCCATAGCCGTCTTCACGCACCATGGCCACTGCCACACCCATGGATGGCATTGGATAGCCCCGCGCGCTTTCCACCACCTGCGACGACGACCCTGTGCAGCGACCGTCCAACCAAAAACGTGCGAACGTCCCGAACGTGCGAACTGACCCGTTGCCGGTTGTCGCTTCCACAACCGCTTCCCTTTCTTGCTTGCAATTTATATAATTGAGTTGCCTCAAGAACACTGATTGGAGCAGCTAAGATCGCGTTCGTTTTAGTGCATTTAATGGGTAGGGTCGGGCTGCAAGCTGGATGAGTATCCCCCAAAGGACCAAGTTTGGAAAACAGAATGACTATGAATGACTTACTTAGACTTATTGCCAAAAATCTTTGCTTCGGCCTTGGATTCTGGGCTGTACAGTTCTTGTTTCTATCACGCTCAGCCCTGTGCAGGTGTGCTGTGCGCGCCTGCAGCTCGACCGCGCTTCGAAGCACATGATCCTTGTCCAAGGGCACCCCGAAGGGTGCCTGCCCTCCAGTCCTCCAGCAGCTGGGTAGGAACGGGTAGGAAGAATCCAAGAATCGAAGACTGGGACCTGCTGGTGACCTGCTGACATGTTGGGATCTTTCCAGGTTGGGATCTGACCTGTGTCCCCGGGTGTCCCCTGCTGACGTTGAGCTCTGGGAAACACACCCTACTTGAAATTGAGCTCTGGGTGCTTAGCCTCAAGCATTCGAACGTTAACACATATGATGGTGGATGCACACAAAGTGTCACAAAACACACTAGGCGGATCACCCGAACCGTCTCCGCAGCAAAGCCGTGAACGACGATCACGCCGATGGATTTGCATGGGCCCGGCCCAGTGTCCCATGGGCACGCCAGTGTCCCATGCACCATCATGCACCCTTTTGCAACAACATCAGGCGCCAACCCCCCAAAAACAACGCTTCATCTTTCTCCGTCAATAGCTGGGTTTTGTCAAACCAGTTGAAGCTTTGCGAAAAGCGCATTCATTGGCTATGTCATTTGAGTCTGCCCTCTTCAAGCACTTGTGAATAAGATTGAATATACTTTAAAAAGCACTAAGCACTGGATGTATCCACTCAAATCACAGGATGTGCTCACTCATCACCGCCAAACTTCAGGCATAGCGTCGAAGGAAGCACCAACATCTTTGACTCCACAAAGTTGTAGCCTTCCTCAAATGGTGAGATGTGTTCGGCTCCATTATCATTTGCGGCTAGTTGCGCCGAAACCTTCACAACCATAACGACACCAACATGTTCAGACCCGGACCCCTTTTGTTCCGTCTGCGCTAAGCCACACATCAACTCAATCAATCCACTGACCAATGATTGACCTAATTGAATGGATTGAATCCTCAACCTGAAGCATAGAACTTCATGGGTCGTTGGATCCCGATGGGTTACAACAACAACAACAACAACAACAACACCACCACACCACCACCACACCAACAACTACAATACAAAACCTCTGCTGGTGGGCCTGCTGGCCCGCTGGCCCCGAGTCTCAAGATATATACATTGAAGCTTCTGGCGCCCAACAATCCTCTCGATTGTGATTGCGGCCTTTGCGGAAGCCCTTACCTCCCTCTGGAGTATTCTCCTGCAAGACACAATTGGACTAGGCAGCTAAGACTTCAACATAAAACAGCCTATATCTCAAGTGCACATAAAGCTACCAATAACATCCTTTAACTAAGAATATTATAGCGTGTGTATATATATATAAGTATATATTATAAATATATATATATATTACAAGCATCTTTTGTATCGAGAGAAGCTAGAGTGACCGACCCACAAATTGGGTCATGCAAAGTAGCATCCACCACTCCCATTTCTGGCGCATGTTTGGCGTGCTCAAAGCTTCAACCGTCGGCCCTACTACCGGCGAAAGCAGCGCTCCTCAAAGCCAGTGCCCACCAAGATCAAGAGCCCAGTGTCTGGCTCCAAGCCTACAACCGCCACCCGCTGCTCTGGCCTAATATGCAGGTTTGGAGAGGAGATGCAAAGTTGATGGACATGCGCTTCAGCCAGTAGGCCATCTAGGGAGTGAGCTGGTGGTCGTGCCCGCCATCCCGAAGAACGAAAACACAAAAACTGAATCTTTGGAGATGTGACACGACCTTTAAGTATAATCTAGTTATACAATTGGAGTTGTTTAGTTTTGACCCAGCAAAATATCCAGCTCGCATAATTTGTCTGAACAAATGTTGCAAGTTTTCCACCAAATACTCAGGGAGTTGCGTTCTGCAGGATCAAAACCATTACAACAACACCTCTTAGCAAACAACAACACCTTCCGACCAAGAGAGACTGGTGCACCCATACAACAACAACAACAACAACAACAA